CTTTCATATCGCAAAGAAAGATGTAAGGAAGGCAAAGAAGTTGTTAGATTTTCATAATGATATTGGAGGTTGGAGAGTAGAAAATAATAAAGTCTATGAACTGGAAACTGACTACAATTGGAAATTTAATGAGTTAGTAAAAATACAAACTTTTCAGAATGAAACAATACCAATTGAAGATGAGTGGGATGTTGAAAGCATCTGTAATAAGATTATTGAAAAAAGAAGAGTTATGATTAGAGCAAAATGTGCTGGGAGCGGTAAAAGTTTTATATGGAAAGTTTAGGTCACAATACACTTTTTGTAGTGCCTCAAAATATGTTAAAACAAGAGATTGAATGCGAAGCGGTGACAGTAAATACATTCTTTAGTATTCCAGTTGATAAAGGGGATGACCTACCAAAGTTTGATTATTCAGATTTTGATTGTATAGTGTTTGATGAGATTTATATGTCCAGTCCTTACATATTGAACAAAATAAGGGTGTTTGCAAACACAATCCTGACATCGTAATTATAGGTGCCGGTGATGTCAAGCAACTGCCACCGATTGAACCTTTCACTAATACTCAAAATGCAGGCGAATACATTGACAAATGTATTGACATTATTTTTAAATATAATATATTTTTAAAGATATGTAAGCGAGTAGGTGGTAAGGATACAGAAGAAGGAGAAAGAAACAGAAAGAAACTGAATGAAATCTATGATGACTTTTGGGTAAAAAGATGGCAGTTGAAGAATGGATAGTTAAGCATTTCAAATTTACTAAAGATGTTATGAATAGTGAAAACAACATAGCATATACAAATATTAGATGTGAGGCAGTATCCAATGAGATTAGAAAAAGATTAGGTAAAACATGCAAATATGAAATTGGAGAAATCTTAATATGCAGACTTTACAAAAAGGACAAGGAAGGAAAACTGAATGTTAATATTAGGTGGAAGGTTGTTAATAACGAAGGATACAAGATAACAATACAAGATATTAAGGATACAGAGAACATTAGAACACTTGACATTGATATTGTAGATAAGCATTTTAGATATGCCTACTGTGCTACCACTCATAGCAGACAGGGGACATCAATCAGTGATAATATGACCATTCACGAATGGAACAAAGATTATTTAGTTTGTAGGGAATGGTTGTGGACGAGTATCACACGAGCGAGGGATTTTAACAATGTCTATTCTTACAAGAACAAAGAGGGAGATGAAGATATGGTTAAGAGTTTGGTAATCAACTATTTTAAAAACAAAGTTGAAGGATATAAACAGCAAGATAGAGTAGCAAAAAGAGAAATAGACGAAGAGCAATACATTGACGAAAACTGGTGCTTAAAATACTTCAAATCCTGTTGCCAAAACTGCGGAATTAAATTTAATCTAGATACAAGAGGAGGAAAAATAAGTTCTAACTTCACTGCTCAACGTTGTGATAATGAGTTATGCCACACAGTTGAAAACTGCACCGCCTTCTGTGTCTATTGCAATTGCAGCGCGTCATGAATAATTTTGAAAATGAGTTTTTCAAAATTATTTTATTAACTTAATTAATGAGTTCAACACAAGAAATTATTAAGAGTGTATATTATGATAGAAGCGGTTATGGTTCAAAACAAACAACCCTCAAGGATGCTAAGCAAAAAGATAGTAGTATTACAATAAACGATATTAATGAATTCTTTAGTAAGAATGTAGAAGAAAAAAGAAAGATGAGAGGTGAAAATAGTTTTATTGCTCCGCATAGTTTCTGGGAATTTCAAGTTGATATGTTTTTCATTTCTAAAAATGATTTGGAAAATCAAACATTTAGAATTGGAATGATATGCATTGATATTTTTTAGCAAATATATGCATATCGTGCCAATTAAATCCAAGACACCGCCAGACATTTTAGCAGGAATGATGGAGAATATCAATAAGATGGGTGGCAAACCGAAATTAATTTATACCGACGAGGAAGGCAGTTTTTTTAATCAATCAGTATTAGATTATTTGAAGGAGGAGAAAATTGAATTACATAGAACTAGAGGTCATCCAGCATTTGCGGAGCGTGGAATTCAGACTTTTAAAGATCAACTGTTTAAACGAGTTGAAGCGGACAAGAAAAATGGAAAGCAGAATATCCAATGGACGGATTATATTTTTGAAATATTATTAACTTACAATAATAAGAATATTCATTCCGCAACTAAATTTACACCGAAGGACGCAAGAATGAAAAAGAATGAATTTGAAGTAAAAATGAATATTACAATGCAAGCAAAGAAAACTAGAATGTATCCAGAATTAGACGTAGGAAGTAATGTAAAAATAATGAGGAAGAAAGGCATAAGCGAAAAGGCACATACCAGTCATTGGATAAAAGAAGTATTTAAAGTAAAATCAATTGATAGTAAATTAGGACAATCTTACTTTCATTTGGAAGGAAAAACTAATCCTTATTTGAGACACGAATTATTAAAAGTTTAATATTAAACGAAATACAGTTAAAGAAAAAACGCCTTATAATATTAGTGAAATGTTGTTTAACTATAACAAGTGCGAATGCTGTAAATGCAAAATGAATAATTTGAGTTTAACCTTACATCATATACTACCGGCAAATGTATGTAATAAAATAAGTGAAAATAATGTATATTGCAATCAATGCTGTATAACAAGAGACCTTGAAAAGTTTTTTCTTGAAGAACATAAGGATAAGGGATATACAAAGTTTCAATTACAATTAAAATTCTTTATGCGACACCAAGCAAGATTTCCTATACACTTTTACCAGAAGATTTCCAGAAAGTCATTTGAAAATGAAATTGATGAATTCTTTAGTAATATAGATTTAATTAGGAGGTTTGGAGGAATAAACGCAATTAAACCATATAAAGCATTTGTCAAAAAATGCCGTTATTTGTTTGAATGGATTGACTGGCATTTATTAGACAAAGATAAAATAAACGAAGTCTTGAACGAATTTAGAGCAACTAAATAAAGTATATGGTATTGCTACAACACTAAATATAAAGTATGTCTATTGTTGTATTTATTCTTTTGGGAATATATTTATTCAATAATAGGAAAAAACAATATCAAATATATAGACATTGGTGATGTAGATAAATATGTAGATTACATATTTGAAGACATATTGCCTGACCATTATTTTAATCCATAAACCTTACAATAAAAAAACATTGTAAGATTTATGATTTCAAAATGACTTGAAGAAATAATAACTTAATATATTATAGTGAAATGAGTGATACAGTCGGTATCAATGCTAAAAATATATTGAAAAACAAGTTTATGAGTTATAAATGTAAAGACTGTGAAATGCTCAAATTACCAATTGAACGGGGTTTTGCAAATGGCGTTTGTAATAATATTTGTCAATATATGATATGCAATAATTGCAATAGAATTATATATAAAAAAAAAATGATGATATGAATAACAAAGATATTGATATTATACATAATGAAACTCTTGATGATGATTTAGAAATATTTGTGTTTATTGAAATGAATAATTTCTTAACTATAGAAGGGTTTGATCATTTATTAGAATGTGACGACGAAGGATAAAATAATGAATTTATTTTTAAGTACTATTGTATGGTAAAAAGATTATACAATATGTCTTTTAATATTAAACGTTTAAACTATGTTGTATTGTTTAATTTTTTAAATGAGTTTTTAAATGATGAGTATAGAATTGACGAACTTAGATATACAATAACACATGCAATTAGAACAATGGGGTTGTTTAGAACAAAAATAGGAAGTAATATTTATAATGAAACAATGTGTGATAAAATAATAGAAAGACTCAAATTAATAATTTAGTTTTAGGCAAAATAGTCCTAAAGAAAAAAACACCTTATATTAATAGTGAAGAAATGAGCGGTATTGAAATCAATAAGTATATTAATAAGAAATGCTATGACTGTTGCCACTTCAAAAAAGAAAATATGGAATTGTATAAATTAAACTTACCTAATGGAATAATAAATAATATTATTGATTATGCTTTGGGTGAAGAAGATTTATGTAAAAATTGTAAAACCTGGAGAGATAACCAAGCTATAATCAGTTGTGTGTTGAGAATAAAAGGAAGACATAATAGAAATGTAGAAGATGACATTTTGATATTTTTAATTGTGTATGAAAGACCACCTTATAGTTATGGTAGAGCATTTCTGAAAATCAGTAAGAAAAAATATGAAATGATTGCAGGTATATTATGGATGTTGGCTTATCATAAAAGGGAAGGGTTTGATGTAAAAGAAGACATTAAAACATATATTGAAAGAAAAAAGTTTAATGTCAAAAACTCAGTTAGAGATATTAATATTATTTTTAAAATGATGCATGAAAGGGGTAAGATGTATCAACAATTTAATAGTCACCAATTAAATTATTATCCTGAACTTAAACTATAAATTAACCCATAAACCTTACAATAAAAAACATTGTAAGATTTATGTGTTGAAATTATAGGGATTTTATATTTTGGGATTTTGGAAAAATATATATTGGGAATTTGGGATTTTGGAAAAATATATTTTGGGAATTTGGAAAAATATATTTTGGGATTTTGGGAATTTGGGATTTAGGTGGTAAAATTGGTTGAGGTGGCGTGCCCCAGTTGGTTAATATGGTTGAAGTGGTTGACTGAGGGGATTTTATCTGAACTGGGGCATGCCCTTTGGTAGGTATAAATCCCCATGCAAATGATGTCCACTGAAGAGCTCCTCAATTGAAATCAACACCCAAATGGCAAATTGTTGTTTTTGTTATCGCCGTTTATCGTTTAGCCAACGACGCACATGATGTTCAACACCTGTTTGGAGCCACATGGACACAGGGATAGGCTGGAAACCCCATTCCAAAAGCCCTAAGTTTGGAAAATGTATCTTCCTTTGAATCCCAGTGGCCTTTGGTGAATTCCGCCAAAGGATGCGACCCACTTGGCCTTTTTCGCTCACATCCAATTCGGCCTCTCCATGATGACGTACTCAAAGGCAGCCACGAAGCGCCTACTGCCGAACCACGCTCCGCGAGCCCCACGGCTCCCTGTTCGTTCGGCTCCAACAAGCACCGCCCGGCCTCCACACGTCTGGCTGGATGCTGAGCTCGTTCCTCTTCACGCATCGGTGGATGTCATAAGCCAACTGGCCGCTACCTGAGGCATGTCACTTCCCAAAACGATCTCAAAAAACCGGGACCAAAATGGCACCCTTGGCAAATGAAACCAAAATAAACGCTGCGTAACCTAGCTCTTTAATTTTGAGCCACACCCTTTGCTTTGCCAATGCCGGTTGGATCTCTATTTTGGAAAAACGCAAAGAAACCCTTTGTACCTGTCTTGACCGTTTCATTTCTCAGTCATGTGCTTTGATTGCATCCGCGGACTCTTCATCATGCTTTGGTAGGACACAACTCGGAACTACACATCTTCCCAACAATCGCTTCGGAAGCTTGATCGGGTTCCTCCATGGTTTCTCAATCTCGCCTGTTTCCTTCCTACTGGAAACCTTGCCCAATCCTGCCTTGCTAACCGGCCGTCTCATGAAAACTAGGGACCAAGAAACAACATAAGTCTATCCACATGTCAATGTGGGTCAAATTGACAGGCCCGCAGCAGAAAAAAGGGGCTACTCATGGTGACCGCCTGCATCCTCTGACCATCTCAGGGCCATGGAGGAATGGAGGGCTGAAAGCTGCATTCATGTGCGATTGATTGCCAAGTCGCCTGCGCCCATTTCAACAACTCGGAATGGCGCTCTCTCCTCCATGTGGAGCCACATGATGAAGACCTTGGAGCAAGCATTGCCGACTCAAACAACACGTTGAGCCTCCATTCGGCATCCGCAGTCTTAGCAACTTGTTTGACACACCAGCCACAAAAACTCCAACGGCCAAATGCCCCAGTTCCCCATTGTTTCCCCCCGCATCCGCCGAGCTGCAAGGCGGCACAACACGCGGCCGAAGTGCGGGGAGAGTGCCATGGGATAGGTCGTGAAGTGAGCGAACTCCTAGGCCACTGCCATGGCCAAAATTCCGGCAATGCTGGATCACGGTGTTCTCCTTAAGTGCGACCAACGAAATTGCTGGTCTCATTGATAAGTTGAAAAGGGGTTGATGACCATCCCTGACCACAAGCAAAAGGGTGCTTTGACCAGACAGTGCAGGACTCAGGATCAGCATACTCCAACACAGGTGCAGGCAACAGTATGCAGCGCAAAAAATCAACGACAAGGGGACGCACCATTTGAACTGTCTTCCAGCCGATCAAATTCGCTGCGGGCCTGCGTGCTCTTGCCATCGCTTTGGCCAAGGACGCGTCCCGTGGAGTAGTAGCCAAAGTCGCTGCCATACCTCCCCCAATAAGCTTTCAAAAGCTCCCACAAGCCCCCATAGAGCCTACGGCTCCAGCTCATGTTGTGCTGGTCTCAATCTGTGACCATGCCCGAGGGTCGCCCGTCTCTCTCCCTCTCTCTCGCTGGCCATATCGACAAGGGCACTGAGCATCTGTATAAAACTCGTCCATGCCGTAAAACTGATCCTGGAGCAAATCTCTCAATCTACCGAATCAAGCACAACTGGGCCGCAATCAACCTTCTCATGCTCATATGCGTCTGTTTCAATGAAGATGTCCGATTAGCCTCACAAGAATTCCTCACGGATCAAGATCGTTCTCCAAGTACAAATCCATTGAGTTCTAGGGCGTGAATGGGCCCTCAAAACCGCCCCCTCCGTGTCGATCTCGCGCACCAGGACGTCTACCCAGCTTGAGCTCCGATTGGCCAGGCAGCAGTGCTCGTAGTCGTATTCCCCTGACCAACAGCCTGGCAGCTTGGCCAATGGGCCAGACTGATCCTACCAGTTGGTGGGCGAGGAAGGCAGAGAGAGTCTGGAAGCTCTGTCTAGCAAACCCAAGGGAACATATTGAAATAAACTCGCGTTGAAACAAAACAGCTACATAGCCAGAATCAGTTCTGTGAATGCCTTTCCGTCCAAGCACGCTGGAGATGTGGGTATGATGGCGCTGCCCCAGTAGTTCCATGTCTGCAACCAAAACTGAACCTTTACATGTGTGCCCACCTATGCACGGGCATGCTACTACTGTCAGTCGAACAGCAAGGCAGTTGACCAACTGTGATCTGAGTGTATCGAGCCATCAAGTGCTCGGCAGCAACAAAAGAAGGACCACATGTGGAACCAAAACGAGAACGTGCCGGGGCATGAATCCAAGACGGAGGAAAAGAATGGAAGATGAGTAAACGCACAGGCGGCCTTCATTTCCTCGCTCGCCGTGTTTTGCGGCACAGCCTGCAGCATGTTGGCCAGCATGTTGCTATGTTCATGCTAAACAATGTGGCAGAATTTGGCCTGCGTTTGACTGCTAGGACCATCTTTAGCAAGCTTTATTCGCACCATGTCACGTCTATCGCAGAGTCGGAAGTGCTTGCAAGACCAAACATGCAAACCTGTGCTCTGAGTCCAAGTGAAGAGCATTCGGCGTAGGTGAAGGCATCCCCGTCCCAACAATCAGCATTGGGGCAGCACTCCTGCGGCAAAACCACGGACTCAACTGCCGACCTGGGACCTGCGGCCGCCCTTCCCTCCTCGAAGCTATAGTCATCTTCCCAACAGTTGTGTGTGGCATCTCCCCGGCAGCACCTGCGACGGAAGGGCCAAGGCCATGCCGAGCCAACGGCAAAACGGTCTTAGGTGGGCAGGAGGCCCTTCAAGGTGTCACCATCCTCTGGCCCCAAACCAACCGCTACCAAATTGGCTGCCAAACCGGCGCATCACGGAGCTGGGCTCCGCCGATCTGGGTCAGGCACGCATCTTTCGAGAAGTCGCCGACCTCACACAGGCGGCACTGGCGGATTGTTTCAAGTGCTGACGCCGGCTGCGGGTACTGAATCGCTGAAATCAGTGCTCATTATCCTGGCTGGGGATCTCAGGCTATGTGCCAAGACTACAGATTTCTCATAGGAAGATATTCGAAAATGAAAAACAACAGAAGCTGACGTAGAGCGGTTCCACGAACTTCCACGGTACTATTGTCTACATGTTGATTATCAGTATGAACATTGTCATGTCCCCTACGATATGAGTTGACCCCATCATCTGCGCTGATTTGTCTCCAATTAGGGGGCCTCAAACCAATTGAGATTCCTTTGGCTTCCCTTTGAAGTCAATCCAAGGAAGATCGCCAAAGAAAGACAGACACGCACACAAACACACAATGTGTGCCATGGTCGACTAAACTCCTTCTGGGGCACGGCAGGGTCATGGCTCCCGTAAACATGACTTGTCCAGGTTCCCTACTAGAGGGTCCATTTTCTCAACTGCCTTGGGTCCCCAGCCCAACACAACTCCTCCGACACGTCGGGGTTGGTCGTGTGCGCGCGGCGCCACTCGCGGGTCTCAGGCAGGACTTCGGGCATGTGAGCCCTGCGAACGTTCCCTGACGCGATTCTTGGGATTGGTTTTGCTTGGGTCCCGTCAGTCCCCCATTGTGGAAGCTCAGGTTGTACCCCAAGTCCTGGTCCTGCCCTACAGTTGACGAACATTGTTAGTGATGTATATATCGTGGCCTGGTATAACTATAAAAAGAATCAGACCTACGTAAACTTTCAGGTGACAGCTTCAAACAAGGAATTCGCAAACCATTGGCAAAACCTCGTGGCTCCTCTCTCTCGCCCTCTCTGTGTAAGGCCGGAACCTTTACAAGCGTGTCGGTAGAGACATCCTGCCAAAACCAAGGGGTTTTGAACAAGCAAGACTCGAATATGCGCGCCTCTGACAGCGCGCAAACCGCCCAGAGCACTAGCCTCAGCTTCTGCCACATGCCACATTGATCTCTGGTGTGGGCCTCTCACAACGGGCCAAATCACATCCGGAAGTTCAACATGCATCATAAGCCCCTTCATGCAAATATAAATGCTGCAACATCGCCACAAATTGCCGACGCGGGAAACGAAGCAAAGCACGAAGAAGATGAGCACCCGGCGGCAGAAGAAAATCACCGACACACATGGGATATTTTTAGGCCCCCGCGATGTCCACCGCATGCCACGCCATGAGATGCGGCGATGGGAGCAGCCGGACTACGAGGGGCCCGACTCTCTGGTGCTTGATCCGTTTCTGTTCGGTCTGAGCAAAAGACAACTCAATGTTGCAAGGGTGCATATAGCGATCCAAGAAATTGGCGCGTTTGGGGCAACTGAGGCTGTGCTCTGAGTTGCACGACTCTGGGGTCTGGGAGGCTGAGGCTTGGAAGCTGGGTGCAGGCTGCAGCTCAAGCGGCTGAGCAGAGAATGGTTTTCCCACAGCCTTGAGATCAACTTCAAGTGAGTGGTCAGATTTGTCAGCTTGCTCACGACATCATGTTTCACAAAACAAATTAGGCCCACCATCAGCTCAAGCAAGATCCAGAGTTTCTGGTTTACCAGGAACATCTGTCAAGGACGGACGGACACTGAAAGGTGATTCACTCCCGTTGAAGTCCTCAAGTTTGGGTTGTCCAGCGTCCACGGCTGATCCATGACAGCTGCGTTCGGCATTCTAAGCTCCCAGCTTCCCTGCTGGCCTCATTGCTCTGTCAGAAGGGCAAAACGATCAAACTGGTGGCGCAGCCCTTTTCTCCTAAGCTCAACTTTCCAGCTGCATGGCGGAGCTGCGCAGCACCTGTCAAGGCCACCAACGCATCAGGGCTCGGATCCCGGCCACCAAGTAGCGCCCTAGGGAGCCATCTTTAAAAAGGTTTTGAGTAGCCCAAGGAAAAAGGAGAAAAAAGGAGCCCGTGAAATCGCAACATCCACCAGCCTTGAGCACCATGTCCCAGCTGCAGTAGGCGAGCCCTGCCTCGCGAGTTTTGTGAGCTCAATGGCAGACTTCCAAGCCGACGGTCGCGTGATACATGTGTCAAACAAGCCAGACCCATGAGGCCCAACGGATTATTCGTGTTGATTCCTGACACCCATGCTTCGATCGGCTGTCTCAGCAACCGGTCCCGCCATCAAAGCCCAGCGGAAGGGCTGCAACTCCGCATAAACCTGCAGGAAGAAGCGATGGTCCAAGTCTTCAAGCCCGCTCAAAGCTAAATCCTGCATTATCCTTGTGAGCAGGGACGGATGCGCCACTGTTTTCACATGCAATCAGGGAATGTTTATACATATCTATACATATATATATATATATATATATATTTGTTTATTTATTTATATATACAAAAACAAGTAGATCATTATCAAGATACGTGTTTACGCATGGAGCATACTAACATTTGACCGCTCAGTCACTCTGCTCCTTTGCCGTGGGAAAGCTGGTTCAACTCCGGCCTGAGACTGGCTCGTGGGCACCTGGCCCAAGCGCCAGGTGTCCTGCGGGGAGATGGAAGACAGGAGTCCAAAAGCAACGCAGGCTCCCCGAAAGCAGATTTTCAGATGCCCCGAATCCAAGTATGTCCATGTGCAAAAAGATCTGAGACCGTGGTGAATAACGTTGTTCCCATCTGGCGGGATCTCCTTCGGCACTCGCCGTTTCTTCCCGCCCGCCCATATCCTGCACAGCAGCCTTCGCGTCTGCCAGAAGCTCCTGGCGGTCCTTCGGGAGATCGAGGATGGCTAGGAATGCGTATTTGATTGAAGGGATCTAAAAGGAACACCCTTGTTCTGCCTTGTTCATGAACTCTAGATGCGCTTGCAACCATCAAAACCAGCTAGCTCCTAAACCAAAAGGACGGCGACCACTTTTGAGAGGTGCCAGGCGGTTGGGGTGGGTGGGTCTGTTGTTGGGGTGGGTGGGGTTGTTGTTGATGTGTGGTTGCCAAGGCTTGCTCACCGCAAGGTTCTTGGAAGTGGCATTTTGCCAGAAGCCATGTGATATGCAAAGCCGCCATTGTCTGGCTCGGGCTGAGCACGCTGAGTCGTGTTGGTGTTGTTCCTTCCACAAACGTGGATGCGCAGATTCTCTTTCCAAAAGGTACTAGTCTATCAAAATGTGCCTGTGCGCCAAACCATGATAGTTGAAAGGGTATTGCAAGAAACTGCCTGCACTGCTTTCGATTTTCTCCCTGTGGTCGGTGGGGAGAATCCTAGAGAGCGTGAGCAACGAGGGCCAAACTGTCAGCGTGATGCTGATTAGTCTGCAGGCGGCACTGGCCCCCGATTTTCGAAGCGCATACACAGGCGACAGTACCAGGGTTTGACACATTGTCCACATGCCTTGGACGCAGCCCCCGACATGTTCGATTCGTACCGTGGGAGGCTGTCTGAAATGTCATCCACAGTCGGCCCCCAACCCTGAGTAGACTCGGTCATCGCATGCAGTTATGCAGTTCTGGGTCCACTTTCTTCTTGGTTTGCCCAAGGAAGCGGCCATCCCTATGCCCTCAAGAGTGGCTTTCCCAGAATGCCCCCGGTGCAGAGAGTCTGCAGCTTCCACCCAAACATCTGTGCCCCAACTCATCCCCAACTCATTTTAGCCCGTGGGCACGTGCGTGAGTCGGTGCAAGTGACTTTGTGGTTGATATCGTAATCTACACCAGCAGAACTAGGATGGACTGGTCGGTAAACATACAGTTCAATGATGTCAGATCTGTACGTTTGATCAATATCAATGCCAAACGATTGGATGGCCTGGTGCAACTTACACAAATACGCATCAATATACAAGCACATAGTGCGCAGGAGTATGACGATGCGTTGTGAGAACAAAACAACTCAAAGGGCTACCTTGTTGATTGCATGACATGTCGGCCTGCCCGACTTGAGAGGACCGTGCCTCCCAAAAGAAGTTCACAGCCCAGCGCGCGCACACCAAGGCAAAGTAGGCCTTGCCCAGCACAGACTCCACAGCCTCCTACGGAACACGCAGCCGCAAGGTAAATTGTCACGCCCACCACTGAAATGCGATCACCTCAGATTTGGGCGGACTTCAAATCCAAATGTTGCGTCTCTCATTAGTAGAATTTCCACCACGGGAAAGCCAACCGTACATGTAACGCCCCAAGCTTTGACCGCCTCAGGCCAACTAGAAACCCTGTAAGCTGTCGAGCCCCAAATAAATTGTGCACAACCGATCCAGGCCTGGAGTCGCTTGGGCTGTGCAGCCCAAATCCTTGCAGGAATCGTGCGCCAACGACGCGAAACATCCCCAAACAATTTAGTGGACATGTGGTAGGGGAAGCTATTGTATTGCTGAAAGATGTTCGGGGGATCATAACTTGCCACTAAGACAAATAGATTTGTTCTGAGGACATATCCAGCTAGCGGATGCTTTGATCTACCCTCCCCAGGCGATTAGCAGATCAAATGTCCAGGCATCCTTGTGAAACTGCTGAATTTAAAATTTCAAGAGCGCACGTGCAGGTCAGAGAGCGGCCACATTTCCAAGCTAGAGCAAGACCATGATTGCATCATGTTGACTTGCTTTTGCCCATGTGTAACATAGTTTTGGCCGCAACATCAAGCCTCTGATCGGCGCGCATGAGTGCACCGTACCCAACCCAGCTATGCAGTTCGCTTGGCCCCATACCTGCGGCATCCTCGGCGGCAGCAACGCTTCAGCCTTGCAAGATGGCAGAAGCATCACACTTTGACACGCTTGGCAATTCACCTGAGGGCATGCACACAAGCATTCTAGATTTCTATCGGACCTAGTCCTCAATGAAACGATGGAAACTTCAAATCAACTATATGAGGATACCAAATCTAGTTGATAGCCTCGGGGATAACTTGAAACCAACCGTTTCAGGGGAAACGTCTGCTATATTTTGATCACCGCCTGTATTGTTGAATCCGGGTATTCGGGATAATTGTTCAACAATGCAGCAATCAAATTCGGATGCTGCAAGTGAGATGCTAAGGAATGCGTATTGCCCAAAATGTCAAAACTCAAACACAAACATTTGTGTCTGCATCACGACGGGCCTGTGGCTGGGGAAAACAAAACGTGGCGGAAATATCCGAAAATGCGTGCTTTGTTTTTTTGGGGGAACCGCAAAAATCCTTGCTTATCTTTTTGCTCCTCAAACATCACAAGCCCAGCCAGTGCCTCGTTCGAAAACTGCCACAGCAGCCCATGGCAAGCCAGGATTGTATAGACAACCACTGCGCTGTTGAAAATGGAGGGTTTTCCTTGAAATTGATCTATGAGAAGAAACAAACACAGCGCTACGTGCATCACCCGGGTTCCCTTGCTCAAAACCATACACACCTTGAACATGAAAATTGCATTTGTTTTTCAGTACATCTGGACACATTGCGCCATTCTGCTGGAAAAACAAACCACATCCCGCCTCTGTTTGGCGAAAGTGTTGTTTGTGGTTTGGTCATGGTCCATGTCAAGAGCTCCTTTTGCGACACAAACATTTTGGGGGTCATCAGCGCCCCCAAAAACAGCATCATGCCACCTTACGGCTTTCAGCTTCGAGCCAAACAAAGACAATGCCATCAAGGGTTTCAATGGGCTTCCCTGGACACAGGAGGGCTACGATATTCCCAAGGTAGTTGGGGGGAAAAAACGAACATCCTCCGGCTTGACCAAAAACGGCGCTGGTGCCCAATACAAGCCCTCTCCAAGGGCCCGGTGCCAGAGGGGCACAAAGCCAGGTCAGATTGAAACTCGGTTGATTAAATATGCGGACCAGAATTTGTCCCCCATTTTTCTTATTCTGGTTCCCCAGTCCCCTATTTTTGTTGATTTGGGGCGGGGGGGGGGGGGGAACATGGGGTGGACAAAACGATTAAAATCAAGTTAGAAAGAAATTATTCCAGTGTAGACCCTACACAGGTTGTGAGCACCACGCAAGTCAAGCCAACAACAACGCGGGGTTTTCAACACCTTGGCACTTCTTGCGCCAACGAGGAAGACAAATAGGCACATAATAAAGGCACATGCTGGGTGACAAGTAATGCGTGCGGCCCGGCGATCCGGAAGCCGGGGATAGGGACAATGCGGCCCGCCATCTGGCCGCACTGGGCGACAAATGAAGGCCCATACTTGGAGACACGGAAGGCAAATACAAGCACATGCTAGGGGCCCGGCGATCCGGAAACACGAACATATCAACAATGCGGCCCGGCCATCTGGCAGCACTGGGCGACAAATGAAGGCCCATACTGGAAGACACGTAAATGCGCACACTGGCGAGCATGCGGCCCGGCGATCTGGCGGCACCGGGAAACAAATGAAAGCACGGTGGCAAACAAGTACATGTGCACATTGGCGAGCATGCGGCCCGGCGATCTGGCAGGCGGCCCGTTCTTTTTAGAGGATCAGAACCTCAACAGTAAACTGTTTGGGGAAAAAAGCACCCCGAAACCCAGTTGGGACCCGACCAGTTCTGCTGGCATTTGCAAAAGGCACATCGAACAATGGCCCTTAAAGGCTGCACTTCCCACCAAAATCAGTTTCAACTACTCCAAACTTTGCCAGTCACAAAATCCAAAACCAACTGTCGCTCCTCACGTCTCAGAAACATCCCCAGCGCTGATGCCAAGAAGCGGGTGGGTCACGGCGCGATAAAGCTGGGTGACCAAGAACAAGCTTCCAGCAATAACCAACTACTGTTGGTCCCGAATTGTAATATCTAGTAACCAAGAGTCACACAGTGTAAGCAGTGGGGCTTGCATCGCGGTTGGGAATGAACCCGCGAATTGGAAGGACTTTCGCACACTTTTACCATTTCAAGCATCCACGCTTGGTAATGATACCTGGTCCACTCGAGGCACTTGAGTCAAAGTGGCGTGAAAGGCGCAAAGCAACTGACCGCACACGGCCAAAAAACCAAGAAAACAAGCAAAGGGCGACGCTCAGAACCAGCCCATAGGATTTTAGCCTACGGCCCGGAAAGTCTTAGCATTGTTCATGTTGGACTTAGGTTCATCCTAGAAGCAACAGGTCTTAACGCATTGTTTGTATCCATTGGTTTGAGTGCAGAACTTGGGCAATGACCGTGCAAACACGCTTTAGAATTTGAGAAAACACACAGTGCGTGAGCGCTGCTGTGCAACGGCCCGTTGTGTTTCTTGCGAGCTTGGTTACTGTGGGAGAGCTGCTGATGCCCACCCTGACCACATTGGGCAATTCCTGGCGCTCCAACAGCCAGAGCTCCGCCTCTGCCAGCAAACAACCCTCCAAAAAAACAAGCCCGCAGGAAGAAAGGCCAGACTAAGGCAGTGCTCAGGCAGTGCTCTGCCCACGCCAATGACATTGGACAGCGGTCCGTGACAGTCAAGGCCAAGCCGCGGGTAAGGTTGAAGAGCGTGGAGACAAGTCCAAGTCCCGTGCTGAGTAATAAGGAACTACAGCTTATGGGGACCTAAAAAAAGTGCGTCTTTGGCCAAAAACGGGGTCCTAGTCATGTCACCCCCAGCTTTTGGAAAGACCTTGTTCTTTTCGGTCAGAAAACGGCTCTTGGCAATACTGAATCAATATTGAAGCAATATTGGTTCATTACTGGGCAAAGGCAAGCCGGTGACACGACAGCCTGCCGAGCTTGTCACGTTTGTCACCGTCGCGTTTTGAGCTGCAAATAGAACGTGCGCGCCTACACCCTGACGCCTGGGAGACGCTACTCCTTTTGCTGCCGGTACCGGCTGGGCACGGCCTCCAGAGGGCAGGGGATCATCTGCGCACACAAATCTGGATCATCTGTACACACAGGCTTTCCTCACTTATTGCGCCATGCACTCTGGACCATCTGCGCACACAAGGTTTCGGTCATCTGGCTCATCTGTACACACACACACACTTTTGGCAGGGTGGGGGGGGGGGATTGGTAAGCACACCCGCTCAAGTGCGCCCGCTCAGCACTGTGGGGGGGGGGAAAAAATGGTAAAAGTAGGGGGCCTGGGGGGTGGTCTGTTGATGGTCCCCTGTTATGTTTTTTATATTCATCTCAAACCTATTAACCACCTTATTCGTTTTTAAAAGAGGGTTTTTAGGGAGCCTATTTATCGTTTTCGTTAAGGTAATCATTTGGGTAATTGCCCCCCTTGTTCATTGTTGGGCTGGGGGCCGACATTTTTTCATTTGAAAGAGTTGACCCTTTTAGTAGTTATCAAGTTCTGGGGTGTTGGTGGTGTATTTGTTTTGTTAGTGTTTTCTCACTAATTTTCATTTATAGGTTAAAAGTTCAGTATAATTATAACATATAAGATTTTACATGTTATTATTATATTATGATTATAATTTCAGTTCAGGATAATAATCTAATTGGTTTGTCTTACTTCTTTCATACATCATTTTAAAAATAATATTAACATCTCTCACTGTATTCTGAACATTAAACTTTTTACTTTCAATAAATAATTTGATATTTTCTTTAACATCTTCTCCTTTCTCTTGACTATAACCCAACATCCATAATATATCATCAATCATGTCATATTTTCTTACTGATTTTAAGAAACTGTTTAACATAATCGTAAGGTGGTATTTTATTTACAGTTAGAAATATTAAAATCTCATCTTCTACATTTCTATTATGTATTCTTTTTATTCCCAACAGACATTTGATTAAAAATTGATTATCTCTCCAAGTTTTACAATTTTTACATATGTCTTCTTCACCATCCATTGAATAATTAATAATATTATTCACTATTTCATTAGGTAAACTCAATTTATACAATTCCATATTTTCTTTTTTGAAGTGACAACAATCATAGCATTTTTTATCGATATAATTATTGATTCCATCACCGTTCATTTTTCTCTTAATATATAAGGTAATATTTCTTTAAGTAGTTTTGGCTAGGGGGTTTCAGGTTTAATTTAAATGTCTTAACCTTCTTGTTAGATTATAAAACAATGTTTAATCATATTATAAGATAATAATATTAATAAACAAAAGTTAATTTGACCCGAATTCAATCTCACCAGCGATACAACCACTATAACAACTCATACTATACTCACAACAATAAATGCTCGTATCCTTTTATTAATTGGTCTGTGTAAATTTCAATTAATTCGCTAAGAATATGTCTCAAATAATAATTGTTATTTCTATATGACCACGAACTGTTTAGGTTTGGAAAGCTAAACCTACAACGTTTAAATTGTTTTAAAGCTTCAATGTCAATACATTTTTTTAAAATGATACAAATTTCATATTCATTATTCTTACAGTATGATTTTAAAGCTTGATAATACATTTTTCTATTTTTAAACCGTTCTTTAACTTCTTGTATATCAAATACTCGGTCAATGTGTTTTCTGTAATGTCTTATTTTTATACTATATTGGTTTTCTGCTAGTAGAGTAAAAACATTATTTTGCATTAGTTTAATAACTTGTAATTGAAGTTCTGCTTTTTCCAGTCCTTCTTCAGGAATGTCTTTATTTCTCATAAAATGTTCTTCTTCATCTCTCAAATACCAACAATCAAAACATGTTGGTTTAATATAACCACCTAAAGATTACAAACATCAACAGGTAAAATATTAGCTAGTCCCACGACAGACTTACATTTTTTATTTTTACAAGGACAATTATCATAATTAAACAGTGTCATTTTTTCTCTTACTATATTATATCCATTTTTCTTTAAGTAGTTTTTATTTTATGTTGAGGGGTGGGGGTTTATATTGAAAAATATTTTCTAACAATTTAATATAATGGCGAGATTAACAAAAGACCAAATAATCAGCAACATCTACTACGACTTAGACGAGGGTTTCGGAAGCACACAAGCGACACACAAGAAGGCAAAGGAAGAAGACCCAACAATAACAATAGACGATGTAAAGTCTTTCTTAAAGAAACAACCAAATAAACAAATCAAAAATTATAGAGGTACTAATTCCTATACCGCTCCATTCGCACGATATGAATATCAAATAGACATAATGCATATGTCTCCTTTAGCAAAAGACAAGAACGTTCCACAGTATGCTTTAGTCGTGATTGACATCTTCAGTAAATTAGCAGATGTAATACCGATGGAGGAAAGAGACGGAGAGCACGTTTTGAAGGCGTTGAGAGCAAGCTTTAAAAAGATGGGTTATCCGATGTCCGTGTATTCTGATGACGACGGAGCGTTTGCAACTAAAAATCAGTTCAGGATTTCTTCAACAGTGAAGGAATAAACCACATCGTTACGAAGACCCACGC